TGGGCTTCTTTTATTTTTCCCAGAAGGCAAATTTGCTAGGGGTTTAGCATGTAGTCTCTTTGGCTCAACCAGAATCCAATTCTCCTCTCTCTTGCTGACTGCGTCTCTGCAGCTCTGCAATGGTATTCAGTGATCTGCTTGAGGCAGATCTTGGACACATTCCCCCAATCCTTGGAGGCATCCTGAAGCAGTTGAAGGTTATTGTTTTATAATGAGAACCACAAAACTGGAAGCTTTCTTGAAGGAGCAGCTCAAAACTTTTGGGAATCAACATCAGGATGTTTTCCTGGAATGGCTCAGGCCCCCTGGCCCAGCCAAGGATTTATAGGGAGGAATCAGAGGGTCTTGGAGCCTTCAGGAAATACTCAGAATGGTCACTGAAGTAGATAACTCAGAATAAAGTTGTTCACCTCGAAATTTGTGGAAGCCCATGCACCTTTGATTCTAAGGAGCTGTCATTTTCTCAGGTTCTGAGGGCAGTCAGGTTGGTTCCTGGAAGCCTGGTTCAGTAATTTCATCAGACAGCTTTCACAACTGGTGTTAGTAGTAGCTAGCAATGAGCAGCAAGATGCAGGTGGGGTCACAAGTTCTTTAAATTACTTTAGGGTCTTTAAACTACTTCCAAAGTAGATGAGAAAGCAAAGAGTAGTAGTTAATTTGTATAATAATAATAATAAGAAGAAGAAGAAGAAGAAGCAGCAGCAGCAGCAAAGGAGCTAGTTAGAAATCATGTCAAGAAAAAAGGATTAAGGGACTAACTCTTGACGGGCTCCATTGATGTTGATGTAAAGCTAGGAATTATGGCTGTAAGTGTCTCCAATTGTCTGGGAAGGAAGATTCCTTTAGTAGCACAGGTACACTAAGGTAACTTCTGACCAGCTACCGACCCCAGTGCCCACATTAACATGAGGTTGACTTGTAGATGAAGCCCTCCTGAATAGGATGGCCACCGTGACAGTTCCAGAGAGGATCAACTAAGGTCAAAAACTCTAGTGAAGGAGGAATCGAACACCTGATTAGTGAAGAGTACAGAAGAAGAAGAAGGTGGTCCCAGTTTTCCTGGTAAGCATCAAACAGCAATAAACTTAGCGACAGCATTGTCTCCTTTGTCATTCTCTGCTCGGAGATGGCCCACTCTCTTTCTTAAGAGTACCCTCTGCTTAAGCCTCACTTCTACTTTCACCTATAATAATAAAGTTCTCTTGCATGGCTTTTGGTGTTTGACTTTAAATTTTCTTTTCCAGAACACAAGAACCGAGGTTTGGAGTTCCCGCTCCCTGCTTTTCTATGACATTGGGATCAGCCTGCTGTGGTTTAAATATGGTCCCCAAAAGTTCATGCATTGAAAACTTAATCCCCCATACTCATACATTTGGAATTTGGAGGTAGGGCTTTGGGAAGGTCATGCAGGTGGGGCCCCAAAATAGGATTAGAATAGGATTTATAAAAAGAGGAAGAGAGCCAAGCTCACATGCTTACCCTCCCTCCTCATTATGAGGGCATAGAGGCCCTCACAGATGCTGGCATCAGGCTCCTGGGCTTCATAGCCTCCAGAACTGCGAGAAATAAATTTCTTTTCTTTATAAATAACTGATTCCACAGAATTCTGTTATAGCAATAGAAAATGGACCAAGAGAGCCCCATCAAAGGTTTTCCAAAGGCACTTTAACACTGGGATTTCTCTGGGCCCACTGAAAAATGTGATCCATGGGGTCCAGTGGATCTGGGTCACAGGTGGGTAGAGGGTCTGAATGGTCTGGAGAGGGTGTGAAATAAGAAGCAATGACAGTCTCAAGAACTGCTCTCTGGAGGCAGGTGCACAGTTGTGAGGGGACGGGGCAAAAGGACAGTCAGTGTAGGTAATGAATGATTGGGTCAGGAAGGGGGGGCTGGTTCAAAAGGAAATAAAATGCTAATACCTCCAGAGCACTTCCCCCTCCACCAACCTGTTGCCAAGGTCACCTGCCTCCAGGGAATTTTTTTCTCCCAAAGAGAAGTTGTTAATGAGTATCCCCTGGGTGGCTCTCTTCCTGCCTGAACCCCTGGGTGACTTGTTCAGTCCTTGAATCTCTCCACCTTTTGGTCTTGTGGGCAGGATGGGAGAGGGAGGGGTCATGAGAACAAAGGAAATCTGAAATCTATAAAAGAGGCAGGACACTTCCGCTCCCTTTGGCACCAGTTTTGGACCCCTTCTTCTGAGGAGGAGTCCTGTCCCCCCCATCCCTGACACCCCCCCACCCCTGACACCCCCCAACACCTCACACCCTTCCCCCACCCCACCTCCCGCCACCCCACCCCCAGCCTGCCATATTCTATCATTTAAATAAAAGTTTTTGGTTTTGCCTTGGAGTTTCTCAGGTGTTCAGTCTTTAACACCACGGGAACAGGGACCCAGGTCCTTATTTTCAACACGAGTATCATCTCTGGTCTCAGCTGTACTGCACCCTGAAAACATTTAGATAGTAAGGAACCATCATCAATTTATACACAGACTGGTACCAGCTCCATACACAAGGAAGCCCTGTCTCAGGCTCAGGAAAATAGGGCAATAGCTATTAAATCAAAGCTTCCCATTCCCATTTCCTATTTCAGCAAATGGTAGGATTTATATCCAGCCTGATCCCAGGGCTATACAACATACTGTGCCTGGGGCCTTGAGAGCAAACTCAGGGTTACAGGCTCAGGCTTTGGGGCTGCTTCATGAGGCCCAAGTTCTTTCCTCTCTCTACTCCATGCTTTCTACTCTCCTTTCCTCACCAACCTCTAATTGGCAATACTGTGGACCATAGAGAACTTTGAGATCATGCTAGTCTGAATACCTGAAGGTACAGGCCACGCTCAGAGATGAAGCCCAGAAATGATTTCTGAAGGACAACAAAAGAGCTATTCATGAACCAGCTTTTTTTTTTTCTTAAAATTTTTTTTTAATGTTTATTTTTTAGTTTTTGGCAGACACAACATCTTTGTATGTGGTGCTGAGGATCGAACCCGGGCCGCGCGCATGCCAGGCGAGCGCGCTACCGGCTTGAGCCACATCCCCAGCCCATGAACCAGCTTTTTAAAGCATTATTCTCTGAGCACATGACCTTCTCTCTCTTCTATCCTTTTCAAAATGGGGTATGGTAGCCAGCCTCCAAGGTGGCCCCCCCCAAATTCCTGCCTCTCTATATTCACACCTTTGCATAGTCCCCTCCCTCATTTCACTAGGGTTTGTCTGTGTGACCACAGACAAACAGCAGAGTGATAGAATGCACTCCTGAGATTAGGATACAGAAGACTATGTGTGTCTTCTGTCTTGGGCTGTCTCTTCTTGCTCCCAGATCACTCTGGAGGAATCTCACTGCCATGTTCTGAAGACATTAGAGATCTTGGGAAGGACTGGGGATGTGGCTCAGTGGTTAAGTGCCCCTGGGTTCAATCTATGTTACCCAAAAAAGAGAAAATTTTAAAAAAAGAGTAATTTGTTATATAGCAACAGAGGGGAAAAAAATGGTGTTTTTCCCCCCTTGGCTTTTTATTTTTTATAGAAAAAGAAAGAAAGTCCCTGTTTCCACCATAGCCATTCAGCAAGACTTTGTCCTATACCACTCTAAGGAATAAAACTGTGGCCAATAAGAATAGAGCTGGCTTCCTCTAGGCCTGCAGAGATGCTCATTGGCAGAGGACTAAGATATCTTCCTGGGCCTGTGGGAAAGAATTCCAGTTGGTATACTGCTAAAATATTCCAGCTTCCTTTACAGAAGTTGTGAGCCTGTGTCCAGTACCAATGTTAATCAAATAAAATGCATAATATATAAGCCTTATAATGCTTTAGAAATAGAGTCCCTTGTGAGTGACTGTGGAGTGACTTTCCGTAACTCTGGCTTTGAAGTAGGGAATGGTGTTTCCACATGAGATGTTTTGGAGGCTGGAGAAAGGCAGGGTCTGCACTCAATGGTCCCCTCTCCCCATACCTTTGGTCCTGCCCTTTCTACCATCCCAATGCCTTCAAGACAGGAAACTCTTTGAAAAGTTCCTGAGCCCAAAGCATCCTACAAATGTATACGTCTCACAGAATATGGTCACATGTGCTTTTTCTGACAGACTTGCTCATTGAAGGGTCCAGAGCTACAGGGTTCTTAAGGAACAGCCTGTGCCCTTCTTGCACATGTGCCCAGGTTGAGCTGTTTTGTTTTCTCCAGAAAACCTATAGCCAGAAGCATAATTTGGGCTTCTAGGGTCCCAGTATTTGTGTCCTAAAATACAGCTAAATTAGGTTAATACTTTTTTTCTCCCCTCTTGACTTGGAGTATAGATTCAGAGACTCTGGGAAACTTTCTGGCTTCTTTTGTTAAAGATCCAACAAGAATACAGCCTTCCTTTCCAGAAGGATTTCAGTTGAACACACTGGGGACAGACAAGCAGAGAGTTGGGACTGATGGGGTCTCTCAGGTCAAGTTGAGACTAACAGCGGGTTGAGGATGCTCTGTAATGCCACAGAGTCCCACTGTACAGACGGATGCCAAGTTAATTTGGTACAGCTGGAGAAGGACTAGAGGCACTTTCAGGGCCTATTGTGTGTGAGCCAACCACCTCATCTCTCCAGCTGTTTTTTTTTTTTTTTTGTCTCCTAAAGGAGACCAAGCTGCAGAAGAAAATGGAGCCAGAAGTCAATTTCCACCAACAGGAACAATGGGTGCAATTGTGTTTCTCACACAGCAGCAATTGCTCTCAAGGAGCATTAAATAAAATTATGCACAGGCTCTTACTACCATGAGAACCTCACCATGGGAACTTCCGCATGTATTCTTTTGGAATCTGAGGGATCTGGGAAGACCGTTTCAAAAAAAGAGAGATTTTTGTGGAAATGTCAGGGAGTGACCAGTTCTTGGGGACCTCTCCAAGCAAGAGAAAATGCAAATACTGTAGGTGATTTCGAAGCTTCCTCAAAACCAATGCAAATCTTTCTTAATGCAAAAGCCATGCTTTTTCCCTTAATATTAATTAAAGATAGTCCTGGTCTTGTTTCTGGAAGGTTTCCAAGGACAGAGGCTGAACTATTACTGAAGTCACAGGAAAGAAAGAGACTCACAGAGCCAGGAAATGGTCACTAACTTGTCTTCTTGCTCTTGCCCTGAAGTGTGCTGGAGCCATACCCTGCTGAGTCTCCAAAAGGAGGATTTCTCAGAGGGAAGGTGCAGGTGGAACTACAGAGTGAGAAGGTATGTTAATGAGGGCTGAGTCCTGCCTCAGAGGCTTACCAGCTGTCCACCTCCAGAAACTTCCTTAGGTTCTCGGAGCAGTTGTTTTAACCCCTTTACAAGGGAGATAACACCTATCTCATGGGGGGAGGGTTGTTTTGGTTTTGTCAAATTTTAATGGAAGGCTGTGTGTGAATAAGGTTTGAACCCTGAAAAATAACCTCTCGATTCCATTTTATAATGCCTGATCTGCTCCTTTAATAACCCAAACATCCAGGATCAGCTGAAGGGGTCTTGCCATGAGTCTCATACTATGGGAAACCCAGGCTGGTTGCCTGCTGTGCCTGCTCCATCAGAGAAGCCCAAAGCTCAGGTGGGCAGACAAACTTGTCCCACACAGTGAAGCAATGCTACTGGGAGCTCTTTGTTTTATTCCTGCCTCTTCTTTTCATCCATCAGTGCTGCCTGCTGGTCCTCTCCCTGGCTTTCTCTCCTCAAATGTAGTTTCTGTGTTCCATTTGTCACAACCTATTTGTTTGTGTTTTAAAACAAACCAAAAGACAGTTTTCATAAACTCGCTGACCCAACCCCTGGCCCCCTGCTGATGACTCTCAAATCTCCTTCCCTGGCCCTGCGCCCAGTTCCAAGGGCCTTTAGGAAATCACTAGCTGCAGCACCTTAGGTTCAATTTGTGGAGAAGTAAATCTTTCCCTCAAAATGTTTCCAACTCCCAATGATGACAAGCTATTAAATAAGGAACATTTTTTATGCTTTATCTTTCATTTCTTATTCCAATTTGCTATGAACTAAATTGTATCCTCTGCCCTAGAATCCTTATGTTGAAACCCTAATGCCCCATTTGACAATTGTATTTGGAGACAGGGCCTTAAATGAGTAATTAGGCTAAGTGAGGTCATATAGGTGGGGCCCTAATATATAATACTGGTAACCTTATAAAAAGAGGAAGCAACATCAGAGACTGACTCTGATGAGACACACAGAGAAGGTGACCATATACAAGCCAGAAGAGAAGACTGAAAATAAAGCAGCTCTGCCGGTACCTTGATTTTGGACTTTTAGTCTCTAGAACTGTCAGGAAATAAATGTCATGTTTAAGGGACTCAGTCTATAGTACTGTTGAGACAGTCTAAAAAAAAAAAAAATTCACAACCTGTTACCAAAACCTGGTACAGCTTTCTTCAAAATGACTCTTTTTTTTTTTTTTTTTTTAGTTGTAGATGGGCACAATACCTTTATGTTACTTATTTATCTTTACGTGGTGCTGGGGATCGAACCCAGCGCCTCACACATGCGAGGCGAGCGCTCTGCCACTGAGCCACGCCCAGCCCCTCAAAATGACTCTTGAAGTCTCATTCTTTCCATATCTTGTCTTGCTGCCCTGCTTCCAGTCCTTCCTCCCTGACATCTATATTCATTACTATTTGTTCATTACTTCTTAACTTCCATCCTTGTCTCCAATTTATCTGATATTCTAAAAAAAAAAAATAACTTGATCTTTTTATCAGTCAGGGTAAGGTAAGTTATGCAACAGTAACAAATGACCCCTAAACCTTAGTGGCTTAATGCACAGAGGTTTACTTATTTTCATGACATATCCTTCATGGACAGGCTCTGGCTCTGCTCCAGGTTGTTTTCATTCTGGGACCCAAGCTGATGAAATGGTCCCTATTTGGGACACTGATGTTCTCATGGCAGAGAGAAATGAGTACTTGTTGAACTATGCAGAGGTTATCAAAGTGTTTGCCTAAAATTGACGTATGTTCCTCATACATTTCATTGACAAAAGCTTCATCCTCTGATGTCATCTGGGCATCGATGTAGAATCTGTCCACAGGAAAGGGAAGCAAATCATTGTGAACACTAAAACAATCTACCATCATACTGATTCCAGCATTTCAGCTTCCTCTTCTCTGCTGTGACTTAAATACCATATGATGAAACCCCAATCATCTTATGACTATGAAGTCCACTTTCTCCAGTTCAGAGGGATTTCTCTTTTTTTTTTGTGACCATTGGTTGACTATAATTAAATAACTTTACACAGGAATCGTAAAGGGGTCTACTGGCTTGTAGTCCTTTACGTGACTTGTGATCAACTACTCCTGGCCACACCCGACTAGACTACTGGGATGGGCAAGTGACCTAAGGTCAGCCAATATAGGTTCACAGAGGCATAGGAGCTGGGTCAATCAGAAGCTCTCCTGGAAGTAACAACTACCAAATACAGAAAGAACTTACATCTTGGGGTGGTAGTTGAGGTTGAAAGGATGCCTAAATGTGGAGTCAGAATCTTAGCAGGTGGAAGTCACATGCAAGTTGGGGTTAGGAAAGAACAGAAGTTGAGTGAGCAGAGGAAGCATCATTAGTAAGAAGAGCAGGAAACAGGTGCACAAAGAAAAAGAGGGCAGAGACACCATGAGGGAGGAGCTAGGCCTTCCAGAAGAGAGACGGAGAGGGCTCACCAGGCTCCAGAGCAGTCTCAATTCCAGGACCAGCCACGTGGACTCTTAGAATAAATCCATACTTTCCTAGATAATTTGAGATATCTCTCTGTCTGTATAATCAGCAAATCCCGAATAAAACCACTCTGTTTAGAGGCAAACCAGTTGCCTACCTGCTTCATGAGTTTAGTTTGACCTTCCATTTAGACTTTAGTCTCCTAGAAAGCAAAGCTCCTGTTTGTCTTCTCCATGAACCTAGCATGGTGGGAGCCACAATAAACAACCTGCAGATGGCTTACTGCCAAATTCACATAGGTTTGTTTCATTATCATCTTCCTCCTCCTCTTTGTAGCCAAGTCTAGAAAATCAACCTGAAGCATTATTATTGGACAAATGAGAGAGAAAATACCAATATCCTTACTCAGGAAATAGTCCCTATGCCCACTTGGCACAAACTTCTAGGACCTTCTTAATTGCTATGGTGTCAATCATGGGCACCGAGTGAACTTTCAGAATTGCTGTAGCCTGGGCTCCAAGCCTCTTATTCAGGTTCCCCAGAGTAAATTGCTGGGCTTTGGATTCAACCTCTTAAAACAAGTTAACATCTGGTTATGGTGAGGGGAAAATAGTAAAAATGAAAAACTATTTGCAGAACAGAAAGTGTTCTGTAGCATGATGCTTGCAGCAACTGTGACCTCACTTCTGCTTAACAAATGCCTATGTGCCCAAGGCAGCCTCAGCATAGACTGTCATGATGTGAGATGGGCAAAGTGAGCAGATGGGATCAGCCAGCTGGTGGCAGCTTGTCTCGGTGGCCTGCTTCTGCAGAGCCTTTGAGTGTCCTTTGGCTTTCTTCCTCCTATTCCAGCTGCCTTCCAATCCCCCAAGCTAAACCAAAGTGGGGGTCCAGGCAGGAGAGATCTCACACGGAGTTTTTTCGTGAGTGTGTGTGTGTGTGCACATACAAGAATTGTTCAACAGAGAAAAGCTTTAGAAAGGACTTTCAAGGCTGTACAATTTGAAGGATTCCTACCCACCTGGACATCAATTTTCTGATATGAAAAGGACAAAAAGATGGTATTGAAAAGGTAACAGATGGTCACAGATAGGCTTTGTCAATCAACATCACCTTGCTTCTCAAGAAGAACCCTGTTTAAAATGTGACTCCCAGGAGGTGGGCAGAAGGAAAGCCCTTCTGAAGGATTTGATCTCTCTTAAGATCCACTGGTTGCCAATAGCTGAAGAGAGGACTCTAGGTTCTCTGTGAAGACTCCTGGCCTGCCATGGATGGATAAAAGTTCCAGGATGAGCAGAGGAAGAGATGGGAGTCTGCCACTTTGGCGTTTTGGCTGTGTTTCAATATAACCCTGTCTGGGATAGCCACCAGTGATAAACACAAAGAGGTACACACACACACACACACACACACACACACACACACACTCCACTCTGTGGCAATCAACATGGTGCGGGAACAAAGTTTCACTCAGCACACCAGGAAGCATCAACCAGGAACCATCATGTGGTTGGACTGAGCTCAACTTCCAACTCATGAACTTGAAAGTGCCCATAGACTCTAGGGCTAGCCTGCCTGAATGTAAATCCTACCTTCTATACAATGAGCTGCTAAGCTTGAGTAAGTTAACCTCTCTGCACCTCAGTTTACTCATCTGTTATATTCACAAAAGGAGTTAGAATATTAAAGCTTTGGGCACAGCTTCTGACACAAAGTGAGTACCATCTACATAGTGGTTACTGGTACCTCCCTGGGAGACACACACCTGATTCTCAGAGCAATGTAGCCTTCAGAGGCCATGAGGTGGTTTGTGTTCCTCTTGATTTTCCATCAGCCAGAGAAAACAGAGGAGGCCAGCTGTCCTCCACACCTTCACACCACCATGCGAGACAGCAGGGAAAACTGTTTGTAAACAGTGGCTGTTACCACATCCCTCTGTTGGCTGGTACTTCAGGGACCTTGTATTAGTTTGCTAGGGCTGCATAACAAAATATCACAGATGGGGTCACTTAAAGAGGAGAAATGCATTGTCTCGCAGTCCTAGAGGCTTGAAGTCCAAGATCAAGACCGTCTTTGGTGTTCTCTGGCGTGTGGAAGCACTGCTCGGCCTCTCCCTCCATCACCACATGGCACTCTCCCTGGATGAGTGTCTGTCTCTAACTTTCCCCTTTCCATAAGAACACAAGTCATGTCAGATTAGGGCTGATCCTAATGACACATTTTAACTTTATTATCGATATAAAGATCCTATTTCCCAATAAGGTTATGTTCTGAAGTACCAGGGCTTAAGACTTCAACATTTTTTCCATATTTTTTTTAAATTGATGCCTTATAGCTATGTATAATGGTGAATGGTTGGACCCGCTGTTTAATATTTGTACATGCACAAAATATAATAAGATTATATTTTGTGCCTCAAAGGGTGAGACCTGCTGACCTTCTACCCTTGAATCTTGACCTTGTGAACTCCTGTGGTCAAAGGCTGGGAAAACAGGCCCATTCAAGCCAGCACAGCTGAAAACACCCAATGCAGGACTCTTGCCAGGGTGACCACTGAGGAAAGCCAACAGGAGTTCAGAGGTTGCTGAGCTGAGATCTTAGGTTACTCCTGGAGGAGAAGCACGAAGGCTAAGGGGAGAGAAGGGACCAGGGAGGGGAAGAAGGGCCCTGAGAAAATAGGTACTAGTGGTATCACAAGCTTTTCTAAGTAATTTGCGTGTAGTGGAGAAAAATTATCTTTTCATTAAGTGTAGGATTTGTGTATAATAGTGAGAATTACATTTGGCTGTGTATTACAGAAAATAGTCAAAACAATAGAGGCTTTTAAAAGCCTCTATTTCTCCCTTATTTAAGTCTGTAGATAGGTAATCCAGGGCTGGTGTGGCAGCCCTGGAGTCATCAGGGGAAACAGATTGCACCTAAAATACTGTTCCTCCAAACTTAGCAACTCTCCTCAGGGTCCCTGATGGCTGCTCAGCCTCCAGCCACCACATCCAGAGAAGGTAGCAGAAGATTGGCTTCTCAGGAAACCCACATATTACTTCTTTTATCTTATTGGTCAGAATTTAGTAAGGTCACCAAATAATCTTTTCTCTGAGTAGCTATGTATCCTGCAAAAACTGAGGATTTGTTATTAAGAAAAGAGGGAATGTTGGGGGGCAGGCCTACAGTGGTCCCCACCACATATGCATGAAGAGGAAATAATTGCTATCTAAATTCTCAAACCTATCCTCAAGAAGAGAATGTTTCTGAAGCATTCTTTGCGTATTGGAGGATCTTCTCTTCCAATGCCTGTGATTCACCCCTCCTGTCTCGGCTTCAACCTCCTTTCCTTAAGGAAACCTCCCTGGATCTCTCAGTCTGCACTAGGTTTCTCTGTTTGGTGTTTTAATTGCACCTTCTGCTTCTTCCTCAAAGCATATTTCATCCTGGTTATTGTTTTTATTATCTGGAATTTTCTGTGTAAGGACCATCTTATCTGAAAATAAAACTGTAAGCTCCATGTGGGCAGGGACTCTGCTCACCTTTGCCTCCCATTGTGTGACACCTAGTGAGTTTTCAATAAATATTTGTTAAGTGTCTGACTTTCAGTGATTAGAATACTAGAAAGATCTTAGATTCAATACCATTTCCAATGAGAATTTTCCTGTCTTTAATTGACTTCCCCAGCTGAGACTAGTGTAAAACCCAGATTCTCCTGTGCTGCATACCTGCCAGGATTTGAGCAGTCCAAATGCCCATGGGAGAGACACCGGTAGGAACTGTCAGACTAGCCGCTGGGGAGGACTCCCACGCCCACCGTAAGCTTCGATTTAGAGAATAGGCTGTAGCCAAAAGCACGCCCAGGAGGGCAGCAGAACAGAAACTGCAGCCACGTGGGTGGGTTTAGATCTGAAAGGGCAATGACTGCCCAGCGTTTGGGGAGGAAAAGTAGGTCAGTCCAGCGTCATCCCCAGGCCCTAAAGGGGAAGGAAGAGTTGTGAGATCTTTACTGTCACCCCTGTGGGTAAATGTGGTCATGCTCAACTTTATGAGAACTACCTGCCCCATTCTCCACTTCCCTTGTTCATAAAACTCTCTCAAAATCAGAAAAGATCAGTCTGGGCTGTTCAGCCTTTTGTTTTTGGATAGACTTTTCCCAAGCACAGCTTTTAAAGAAAGAATCCATATTTAGCACCATTTAAGACAACAGGTAGCACCCAGAATCCAGATGGCTGCCCAACCCACCACTTTAAACTGGTCCAGTTAGGGATCTGTGGGGCCTTATGTGTCAGCACTGCCGCCTCTGCTCACGAGAAGCTCCACAGGGCTCCCCCTAATTTCCCCAGCCCTGGAAAGTCTTGGTGTCTCAACATCAAAACTGAGAAATAAGGACTCAGTTTAGTAGACAAAAAAAAAAAAATACCCTCTTTATTCTGTTATGATAAAATTTAGTCATTATAGTCTGGGCACACTTCTCCTAACAGAGAGATCAAAAATGATATTCACCCTGGGAGAGATGTGGGGATTTTGAAGGGCAGGGCTGCAATAATTTGTGCTGATATTGTCTCTTACTGGTTTGCAAGAAACTATTGCTAAGTACCCAAGACTTTTGTAGACCAGTTGTTGAACCACTAGAAACTTAAAATCTGCCATGATGGGAGTATTTACTCTGTGGGAACTGGCCAGTGCTACATATCGGGTTGGATGATTTTTTTCCAGTCAGCTGCTTTACCACTACATGCTGGGTTACCAGGAGGAGGTCGGAGGGGGCTGGAAAAGATCACAGGGTGAGCAGAGCAAAGGGTGTTTGGTACTTTCCTGATATCTTCATGGCATCATCTTCCTCAGCCCTTCATGTTTCCCTGGGGTTATGTTTTCTCTCCTCGGAGAGAAACACCAATGGATCCCACTCCTGTTCCTTCAGTGAATGTGAAGTTGAATTTCCTGGCCCCTGTGCTGAAAGACTCCAAGAGCACAACCTCCTAAAGCATCAGGCTTGACTCCCGGAGTAAAAGAGAAGAAAAAGCTATAGAGGTGCTTGTAATGATGGCAGGCCAGTGAAAAAGTAGAGAGAGGCAGCCTGGTAATTCAGGGTTGGCATCTTCAAATCCCTCCCTGATAAAAATGACAATCCCTCTGGCCACTCCTGTGAGTGGGTCCCTCTGCTTCAGATATCATATTCAGTAGCCACAAAAGTTTGAAAAGGAAGAAAGTTATTTTCATAGGAAGGAGAATAAGTGAGACCAGGATTTGTATGGAGAAAGGTTCTTAAATTTGACTGCAGCGGCCAATCTGGAAAAGAAGTACTTCTAGATGTACAGATTGCCAGGATCTTCCCTAAGAAAATTAGATTCTGGATGTCTAAGTCTTTGTAACCAAGAACAAGTCTTTGTAATAGCTTACACTCCCACCTCACAATTCTTCTGGTGCCAGCTTGAGGACTAAACTCTGAAAAACTAAAAAGCTAATTTATAGATGGTGGAATTGAGCACTGAGTGGGGTCCTCCAGTGCTCAGGCCCTGACCTGCCACAGAGGTGGGTCTTTGGGGTCCATAGGCCCAGCATTGGGCCAGATACAATGGAACAGCCTGAAAACACAAAAGCATGATATGTTCCTCTCCATGACTGAGGAGGTGCAGGGGTGGTGTCTGGAAGAGTAGGCAGAGGCTCCAAGAAGAACAGATGGGATGCCATTGCAGGACCAGCCCCAGAGCTCAGCCTCCACCAGCCGGGGGCTGACATCTGCCCATCCCTGGGAGAGCTGGGAAAGGAAGCAGGGAAGCCCTGGGTAGTGGCCTCCATCCACAGGGAGGCCAGCCCTCTGCTCTGCTTTCCCCCTGGATCAGCCACCCTTCCTGCAGCCAAATCACTCTGGGGCCATGTGAGGGCAGGGGCAGCCTCCCCCTGGGATTATAGGGATGACAGTGGACTTGTATTTCTCTGTACAAATGAAGGGAACTCTTCCCCAATGGGCTTTGGACATTCTCCTGGAATATCTGGCAGGTGTCAGAGGTCAGTATTTCTTGTTGGAAGAGGCAATGGAAGCACTTTTTGAGGTCTCCAATTTATAAAGCCTGTAAAAATTCCTCCCCTCAAACCCAAGCCCATTTGCAAAGATGGGTGAAGAGCAGACTGTCACCTCACCCAGGGGCTCACTCTGGAGAGAGGCCACTGAACCAGCCACAGAGCTGCTGCTGCCACCCCTTTACACCGCCCCAGAAAGTCATCCCACTCCTATTGAGATGGTCGAGCCCTGCCAGAGAGCATCCTAGTGATGGAGGGAGTGGGAGGATGCCACGTCACACCTTTGCCCACTGTACACGGTAAGTCTACCGTGTTCAAATTCAACCACAGCCCTTCCCTGGGCTGTGCTCTTTACATCTCTAAGCCACTTCCTGTTTCCTTTTCTAGGTCATAAGTCTCACTTGGTGTGAGTCACTCACTCAGGAGGCCCAGAGAACAAGGTTGGAGGATGGGACTTGGAAGGCCAAGGCATTGGTTCAGTCCTAAGAAAACAGTCCTAGGCTTTTAGGACTGCTGCATGCTAGGCACCAATGCCTACCTGGGAAATCTTGACTCACCTGATTTGCATTTCTCTGCTCTGCTAATGCCAAGCCCTCAGGTCCCAGGAGGCCTGGGACAAGTCTACTTTTTGAAGACTTTTTTGCAGATCTCACTGGAAACCTTGCTTTGCCAAGGAGCCAGGCCTTCTAGCTAATCATCAGGCAACAGCTAGCTATCTCACGGAAGATAAAGACAAGAAGCCATTCGAAAGCATTATCTTCTAGTAATTGCATTTCAAAACAAGGAGGAAACCACAGCTCAAATGTGAGCCAGTGTTCAGCAACCTGAGTTCCCATGAAGACAAGCAAGAAGAGACTTTACACAATTCTATGGTCTTCCCCTTTTGATTTCTAAGCAGTTTACTCTTCCTGACTCTACCACCCAGGGAGGGAAAGGTTATTCTGGTGGAACACTGAGTAGTAAAGACAAAGCCACTGAATGATTTGGTCAAAGCTGATATGCCAAGGCAGCATCTGGCAGCAATTCTTGCCTCCAAATTCTGTTCTTGAACTTTTGTTTTGCGTAAATGTCAGGTATTTTCTATACCTGAGATGGCATAGAAAATGCAGAGCTCTAATCTCCTTGGGCCTCTAAGTAAGCCTTGCATTCGGGGATGGGTTTGGGGCAGTGGGTTTGGGTAAGATCCCTGTAACCCTGGCCCATTTTACAGACACCTATATATAACACCTTTTTTTTTTTTTGGTGGGGTTGGGGGATAAGTGAGAAAGGAAGAGAGAGGAAAGAATAGGTAGAGAAAGGTGCAGAAACTCAGGCTAGGCTGGGAGACAGTTGAAAGGTGTGGCTGTACTGAAAGCAATCAGGAATTAGATCCTGACTTTCCAGTAAGATTAACTACAGACAGAAGCAGATGCTGAGTCTACTTGAAGTAACAATGTCATGTGCAAATCTGTGGAAAGCACGCAAGCGCGCGCGCACACACACACACACACACACACACACACTCGTCTCATCCTCTTAACTATTGAGAGTGTAGGGAAATATGAGTTTTCATACCCTGCTGGTAGGAATGTAAATTGGAAACACTTTGCTGGTTGGGACTTGCTTATGTTTGAAGCAGACAATGGACAATGCTGGCTCTGTGTTCACCAAACCCTTCTTGTGCATACACAAAAAAGACTACATTTCCCACCCTCCCTTGAGGTTAGCAGTGGTCATGTTACTGAGTTCCAGACAGTTGGAAGGTGGGTAGAGAAGTGATGTGAGTCACTTCCAGGCCTGGCCTTAAAACCAGCTTAGAATCTTCACACTCTTTCTCCCTTTACATAACAACTGAAATCAGACGATCCAGTGGAGCATTCCAGGGCTTTGGCAAATGGGAAGCCATTCTATGACCAATCCCTGGTTCCAGACAGATGTGCAGAGCACTCTCCCATCCCAACCAGGTGACCTTCATTTGAGCTATAATAGAGAAATAAGTCTTTATTATGTTAAACTACTGAGGTCTGGAGGTTTTTATTATAACATTTAGACTATCCTGAATGGTGTAGTATCACAATTCTTAAAAATGTCATAAGTTTTGCCCTAGCAATAAACATTCTTTGAAACATACTCTAAGAAAATAATTAAGGGTACTCACTACTGTATTGATTATAACAGCAAAAGTAAATAAATAAATAAATAAATAAAAATCCAACAACATGAATTTCAAATCATAGAAGATTAATTAAATTAAATAATACAGCCCTGTACAGGAATATTATTCAGACATTTTAATATCACTGAAATGTATTTATTGACATGTCATGCTATAGTATTACTTGAAAAAGGGCAAGTATCAAAACAGCTTAGAGAGTATGAACCTATATTTATTTATGTATGTCAATATATGAATAGAAAAAGTCTCAATCTATACCAGAAACAGGGATTATTTCTATTAATAGGATTATAGGTGGCTTTGTAAAAAAGTATTTCTATTCTGCAGTTTTATGCTTTTTCTTTCTTTCTTTTCTTTTTGCATTGATGGGGATTGAACCCCAGAACCTTGCACATGCTAGGCAAGTGCTCTCCAACTGAGCTACATTCTGATGAGTCTGTCCTTCCTTCCTCTTCCTTCCTTCCCTCCCTCTCTCCCTCCCTCCCTCCCTCCCTTCCTTCCTTCCTTGACAATGTCTTGCTAAATTGTTCAGACTGGTCTCAAACTTGTCATCCTCCTGCCTCAGCCTCCTGAGTAGCTGGGATTAAAGGCATGTATCCCTGAGTCTGGCAGTTTTACATGTTTTCTATAATGAGCATGTATTTCTTCAGTTAAAAATGGTTTTTTAAGTAGCCTGCTGCAAAGGGATGGATCTTCTTTGAACTTGAAGGCTGGACTTTCTCTTCCTGAATGTTAAGTGGAATCCCAGGTCCCTTGCTGGGTCTTCTGGGCTCCAATTCCACCACCCATAAGGTTAAATTCTCACCACTAAGAGTAGCTCTCCAGCCCTTCACACAGCCGAAAGCTCAGCACCAGGGACAAGCGCTCTGGCTTTAAGAAAGGAAGTGCTTTTCACTATAGTGTTTTTCAGAATTTTCTCAGAGAGTTGCTGGGCTTGTTTTAACAAGTCTCTTCTCTTCGGGTCCTAATTTGGATGATTTTGGAAAACTGTGCCACAAGACCCCTCCCACCCTGCTACAGCTGAGTGACGCAGACCATGGCTATACCGCAGAGTCAGGGCAGGAAATTACATTCTAACTGTAGGTTTTTATTCAGAAATCCAGCAACCTCACCACAAGCTCGAGAGCCCTGGAACCTCAGTGCCCTGACCCACAAGATCAAAGCTTCGAGTGGCATCTCTCCAAGTGAACTTTTAACAAATGTAGCGTTGCCAGTTATTTTGACCTTCCAAATACATGGTCATGCCAAAATTAAGTTGAAACTCCATTTTTTCCCTGCCAAATCCACTCCCTGCTCTCCTCAGCACACCCTCATGTGGGGGGAACAAGCCACTGAGGTTACATTTTGAGGAAAGTTCTTTTGTGTTCTGTGAGAAGACCATATATTAATACCAACTATGTATAAGTTTGTGTGTGTGTGTGTTGTTGTTTGTGTGTGTGTGTTGTTGTTGTTGTTGTTTTTGTACTGGGATTGGATCCAGGAGTGCTCTACTACTGAACTACATCCCCAGCTCTTTTTATTTTGAGACAGTCAAGCTAAATTGCTGAGGCTGGCTTCAAACCTGTTATCCTCCTGCCTCAGCCTCCAGAGGGATTAAAGGCATGTGCCACTGTGCCTGGTCACGTATAAATTTTGTGTATAGTGTGATGGAGCCATTTTAATTTAACTTGCTGTCTTTTCAGCAAATAAAAATGAAGAAATGCAGGGAAGGAAGAACTTGTTTTTAACACAAGGTCCTGCATGTGGTCGACCTCAGCAAAAGAGGCTTCTCTGGAACAAATGAAAAACCAAGCCTGGCCTTGCCCCAGGACTCTGGAGAGAGCCTACAAGAAAAACTTTGTTATTCTTTCTCCATTCCTCTCCATGACTCAGATCCTACCTGTCCTTCAGACCCAGCCAAAAAAAATACACATAAAGTTTTCTGGGGACCAGTCTACCCACACCTTGTCTGTCCAATCTCCAAGTTACTTTTTAGTGAAGAGTATGTATCATGCAATTTATCATTTAAATACACTGTAGTCCCCCCTTATACACAGGGGATACATTCCAAGACTCCCAGTAGATGCCTGAAACTGAGGATATACCAAACCCAATATATACTATGTCTTTTTCTATAAATATATACCTATGATAAAGTTTGATTTATAAATTAGATACAGTAAGAGTAGTAATATTAACTAATACTAAAACGGAATAATTATAACAACATATAGATGCTGCTACAATAGTCCTTAACCAAGATGGCTGCTAAGTGACTAACAGATGGGCAATGTATACAGCATGAATACACTGGACAAATGGGTAATTCGTGTCCCAGGCTAGATGAAGTGGAATGGCAGGAGATTTCATCACACTATGCAGAATGGTGGTATGCAATTAAAAACTTATGAATTATTTCCTTCTGGAATTTTCCATTTAATATTTTTGGATTGTGGTTGACTTCAGTAGCTGAAACCACTGAAACTGAAACCTCAGAAAAGGGCGTGGCTTACTACACAACCCAAGCGCTGTGGGCCCCAGTGAGTGAACACATTCCAGATTCATGTTAGAGCTCAGCTAGGATTGTTTAGGGTCCCTGCCCCCTCAGGATGTCATCCCTTTGAAGATTCCTCTTCCCTCAGGTATTTGGAACAGAGAATGATAGCTAAAACGAATAGGAAATGGAGTCCACGTGGTCTTCAGCAAGTCTCTTGTGTTCTCTGTTTCAGTTCCTCTGAACTTGGTTCCTTATTTGTAAAATGGTTTTAATAGTCAAAGTGAGAACTGAATGAGAAAATTCATGCAATACACTTCACGCTCAAAAAACTTAAAAGGAGTTCCCAAATTGGGCTCCCCCATTCCCAGCCCCATGTAGAAGTGGTATTCTATGTCCCCTCTCCTTGGGTCTGGTCTCTGAATCTGCTTGGCCAGTAGAATTTAGATAAGAGACCCACATCAGTGGCTTACTACACAACCCAATTAACTATAATCACTAAATGCAGTTTCCATGTCCTGCCCCGCCTCTTGGAACCCAGGCACCACAGTGAGAAAACCAGGCCCACAAAGAGACATATTTTAGCTAGAAGTCCACCTGAAGTTCAAGAAAACAGTCAGCACAAAAGCCAAGAGCTTTTGACATGACTCCTTTTGCAGCCACCACCTGACTGTAAACACAGAAATTAGACATTGGAAGCCTTGATTCACACCACCTAGATGGTCCCAGTCAACCCCAGAACCAGAGCCGTAAGAATAAAATGATTAGAGTTTTGTGCCAACTAACCCTGAATAGGTTCTCTAGTAGTTTGTTATTCAGTAATGGATATCTGGAATCTTTATGTAATTGTTGTAGGGGGTCTCATGTGGCCACTGGACCACATCCCCAGCCCCTTTTGGTTTTGAAGGATCCCCGTCTTTACTTGCTGTTCATCTCTGGCAACTGGAGACTATCCATGTTGATTCTTCCTCCCCAGCTTTGCACAGTGAATTGTGCCCTTCCCCTTCAGACATGCTTGTAGTACCCGAGTCCAACTGTAGATTGAATTCAAGCTTTCACTCCAGAGGAGACTTCCTATCTCCCATGAAAATCAGTGCATGCAAAGAATCATGTGGGAGGAAGAGAGCGTTACCTGTCACCCATGGCTACAGGGATCAGAACAGCCTGTTACACGTTCTGCATCGCTCTGCTCACTGTGTTTCTCATGTATGTTAGATCTTGTTTATCCAAAAAGAATTTAAGTTTCTTGAGGGCAGTGACCTATCTTAGCTTTTTTGAGTATCAAAAAGAAAGCAGAGAGTTGGAGTTGTGGCTCATGGTAGAGCGCTCGACTGGCACAAGTGAGGCCCTGGGTTCCATCTTCAGCACCACATAAAAATAAATAAATAATTGTACTGTGTCCATGTACAACTAAAAAAGAAAGAAAGCAGTGATTATAGTTAATTGCAACCATTTGAGTTTATGAAAAGCTAAGCCCATGATGAAACTATGAAGGAACAAATAATTGCAATTATGCTAGGGAAAAAAACCACACCGCTGGATGTGAGTTAATTGTTGCCCAAACTCCCATTATAAACAAACAAAGTGTGTGGGGACAAATGATTCTACTGTGAAAACAACATGAAAATGGTTCATATAAATGAAAAGTCCAGGGATCAGAATTAAATTTCTCCCAATTGATTTGATGCTACTTCCCCTTTCTTTATTTCTTTCTTTTTTTTTTTTTGGTTACAAGGATTGAACCCAGGGTTAACCATTGTGCCACATCCCCAGCCTCTTTTGTTTTAATAATAATTTTTTTATTTGTAGAATCCCACTGGTTATATAGTTATATAGAGAGAGTAATAATGTCTGATTCATTCTATTATCTTTCCTACCCCTATACCCTCTCCCCTCCCTTCATTCCCCTTTACCTAATCTAAAGTAATTCTATTCTTCCCTAGCTCCCTGCCCCATTGTGAATTAGCATCCACATATCAGAGAAAACATTCAACCTTTGGTTTTTTGGGATTGGCTGATTTCACTGAGCATGATATTCTCCAGCTTCATTCATTTACCAGAAAATGCCAGAATTTCATTCTTCTTTAAGGCTAAGTAATATTCCATTGTATATACCACATTTTTTTTATCATCTGTTGAAGGGCACCTAGATTGGTTCCATAGTTTAGCTATTGTGAGTTGAACTGCGATAAACATTGATGTGGCTGCATCACTGTAATATGCTGATTTTAAGTCCTTTGAGTATAAACTGAGAGGTGGGATAGCTGGGTCAAATGGTGATTCCATTCCAAGTTTTTTGAGGAATCTCCATACTGCTTTCCATAGCAATTGCACCAATTTGCATTCCTACCAGCAATGTATGAGTTACCTTTTTCCCCACATCCTCATCAACATTTATTGTTATTTGTATTCTTGATAATTGCCATTCTGATGAGGGAGATGAAATCTTAGAGTTGTTTTGATTTCCATTTCTCTAATTGCTAAAGAGGTTGAACAATTTTCCATATATTTGTTGATCAATTGTATTTCTTCTTCTGTTAAGTGTCTGTTCAGTTCCTTAGCCCATTTATTGATTGGGTTATTTGTATTATTACTATTATTATTATTAATTATTATTATTGATATTAAGTTTTTTGAGTTCTTTACATATCCTGGAGATTAATGCTCTATCTCAGGTGCTTGTAGTAAAGATTTTCTCCCATTCTGTAGACTCTCTTTATGTTATTTTTTAATATTCTATTTAGAGACAGGGTCTTACTAAGATGATTAGGGCCTCGCTAAGTTGCTGAGACTGGCTTTGAACTTGTGATCCTTCTGCCTCAGCCTCCTGAGCCACTGGGATACTTCTCCTTTCTTGACACTTAGATCAGGCACTGGAATGCAAGAATATTCATGCCTAAGGCTATCTAGTGGTTAAGTTTGTGGCTAGGGCTGACACCCTGAGAAGTTTCATTCAGTCCATATCATGGCTCAGACACAAGCTTCTGCCTGGAAGCACCTGGCATGATTTTTTCTGCACTGTGAAACTATCTCCACTGGTGGAGAAGCTTAGCAGGCTTTGCAACTATTGGCTTCTATTGACCAATCAATCACATGCCTGACTCTTAGGACAACAGCATATACCCACCTT